TGGCGTGCCTCCTTGCTACCCTGGACTCCTGCAACAGGTAAGTTTTTTTCTATTTTTACTTCACCCTCGAGTCTGCCATTGACTGAGGCTTCCCCTTTTGTCAGCCCTGCATCCCTGGGACACAGTATTCGCTGATGACTGTAACTTTGTGAAACTTTAAGGTTTGTAAAAACACGCTGCCTCTCCCCATGTTCCCAGAGCTCCAGAGTGCTGCTGCCCTTCTCTACTGGTCTCTGACCGTCTGGCTCTTTCCTCAGGTTCAGAATGGTTTCAAGTAGGTATGTTTTATTGATTTATGGATATTTACTTTTATACATTTTAAAATGTGATTTTATAAACTTTTTAACAGTATATTGTCATTACTAAATTGTCTGCCCCCCATGCCCCTAATTCCGTGTAATCCTGAAATTTGAAATAGATAAAAATTAAAAGAAATGCTTAAAAATAAACTTTGATTTAAGCCATTGAAATTATAACAAATAAAAAAATAAAAATGAAATTGTGCCAAGCCTACTCATGAACCACAATGCCTATTAATGAGTATCTACTACTAGCATGCTTCAATTGTTTGTTTCCCAGTGGTGTACTGCTTTCCTTCAACTGGTAGCACCAATGGTCTGTAATGTCTCACAAACTGAAACAGAGGCCATTCTCTCTGCTCAAGAGGGTTGTTTTTGCTACCGTTCCACACTTCTGGAAATTTCAGCACAAGTTGACCTTTAAGCATGAGCCATCCCATTGAAATCACACTACTCATCTGCTTAAGGCTATGCACCTGCCTAAGCACTTTGAAGGATTCCAAGCCCAACACAAGTTCTGGACCTTGTACCAGCATAATAATTTTGACTTCCAGCAGTAATATTGATCATTCCAGATGTGCATCCCCTTCTTAGGTTATGACTTGAGTTAATTAACTGGAGCATAGGAACAGTCATATCAAGACAGACTCTCTAATCCACAGCTGATTCTTCAAAGGCTTAAAACAGAGGTTTAGGAGTAATACAAAAACAACCCCAAGGAATTTTCTGGTCTTTCCCTACCTGGCAATCTTATTGTGTAGCATAGAGATATAAGGATTCATGCCCTTTGTATACATTTCAGCCTGGCTAATATAACAGCTGCTATCTTTATTCAGTAAAAGTATTAAATCCTTTTCTTAATTTTTCGTAGCCATTTGCCAGTATAATGTGTTCCAACAGCAAGTTCTATAAGCCATTTACATGTTAACAAAAATATTATTTCCTATTACCCATTTTATTTCTGCTCCACCTCCAGTGAGTTGGGTGACAAGGGTGAGTACTGCAGTCTACCACTTTATTTGCTTGGACTTTTCATAAGTGGTGTAACAAAAGAAAGCAAGAAAGAGCAAGTACATGTAAGCAGAAAGTGAGTATAAAGCTATATCTAGTTAAAGGGGGAGGGGAAAATTCCCCACCTACTACATCTTACAGAATAGATTGTCTTCACAGAGCAGGTGACAGCTGAGGTAAGTGGAATGATCCTGTGACTAAGATAGTGGACCAAGACTCAAAACATTCAGGTTTGCCAAACTAAAGAGCCCTAATTCTTTCAGCCTTTCCTCAAAGGTCTTGCTTCCCAGGACCTAAACATGTTTGTTGCTCTGCACTGAACTCTTTCTAACTTGTCTACATCCTTCTTGAAGTATGGAACCCAAAACTAGACACAGTACTCAAGGTGTGGTCTCACCAGTGCTTAACCAGACTGTATTCGTGCATGCAATTAATCTGTCCTAAGTGAAGGACTTCACATAAGTCCTTGTTGAATTCTACCATATTGATTGCAGACCATTTCTTCAATCTATCCAGGTCATTCTGGATCCCAGTCCTACCCTCCAGACTAGCTGCAGCTCTACCCAGCTTGGTGTTGTCCACAAATTTGTTAACCTTGCACTTGACCCCATTGTCAAATCATTAATGAGGATATTAAACAATAAAGATTTTAAAAGCTATTAAACAATAAATAATAAAAGAATGGCACAGTAGTGCAGTTCTCTGCCTGTAAAATGGAGGTCGTAGCCCTTCATCCCTGCAATAGCTGAGAATATGCATTAATTTTCAGAACTCCACACCCTGTGAAGTAATTAGGAAAGGGTTATGTAAATACCTACACTGACAGAGGGATAGAATTCAAAGCTCCAGCAATAGTAGGTAGTTTAAAGAAGATATATTTGATTTTTTTCAGACCACAAACTCAAGATTTTTTAAATGCACAGATGAGCTACAAACCTAAATCCCATTCCCCAGGTTTTCTTAGTACTTTATATTTTTAATAGTTTTTCATAAAATTTTTAAAATCACTTGTGGGCTCTATACAACAGTGTAATCATACCCTGGTGCATTTGTATAAACAGAAAGAAAAACTTTTAGTGCTGTTTGGCCACCCTATCTTTATCTAAATCAATCTTAGGAGCTTATATAGCCTTCATTACCATAGTATTTGAGTGTCTTCAGATTCCACATCGCAGTGCCTCTCTGAAACAGGGAAGCACTATAATACACACACATACATGCTTTGTATAAAATGTACTTTTATAATATATGTATTATAAATATAAATAAATGTGTGCTTGTACACACTTATAATTTGCTACCTCACTTCAAAGATGGGGAAATGAGAGAGACAGGATGTATCTACACATGCTATTAATGCACAGCAATAAACTCCAAAGCAGGTCAAGTCAGTCAACTGTGCCCACATGCAGTGCCCAGGGCCCACAGCAATTTGCGCCCAGCAGGCACTGTCTACACGTGTTTGATCACGTTTAATGATTCCATTGTAAGACAGTGCTGTCCCCAACAGTACTATTATATGGCAGAGTTAATCAGTCTACTGCGCCCTAATACACATGTAGATGGCAAAGCTTTACTGCGAAGCTAATTAGTCAACTCCACAGTAAAGTGCACATGTAGATGCACCCAGAGAGAGAGAGAGAGAGAGAGATGCATCCAAGGAAGAAACAGAATTCTCACACTAATCCCTAACTAGCTATTTCCTATTTCCTTTTTCACAGACAGCCTCTTTTCTACCTTGAAAAACTACTACAGTAGTCTTCCTTACTTACCTTTGGCTTTTTTCCCCCCTTGGTTTTTCCCCCTCCCTTCCCTGCTGTACCTTTTGTTTTCCTAATTTCTACCTATTTACCTTCTCACTGACATCCTGTCACACTTTTAGCTTCTTTTATTCCTCAGTGTCTGAGAACAGCAGATTTCCTATGCCTGAGAAAGGGTAATTGCACCCAAAAGCTTGCAAAGAACTTTCTTCCAACTACTCAGTTGGTCTTATAAAAGATATCATATCTACTCTGCCCGCCAATCCCCTAACTACACATTCAACTTCCTCCAGATTCCATCTGTCAAGGGAACCACAGTGGGTTTTCCCTCTAAGTGTAATTTCTATATTCTGGATAGATTCTGTCAGAGGCCTCCAACCGAAGATGATCCTACAGTATGAAAACCACTGCCAAAAGCATCTGCCATTGTGAGGAGCATGAACAACACGAGCTCCCGCAGGTAGCCACAGTGCTGTTGGCAGGGGGGAGTGCCGACCAGCAGTTGGCAACCACCCTCAGATGCCGCCAGCGGTGTCAGCAGCGGGCAGGGCGGGTAGCAAGCAGCAACCACCCGCAGGCTCCGCCGGCAGCGTTGGCAGTGCTTTTTGCAAGGGGTACACCACCAATCTCAGGGGGTGCACATGCACTCATGTGCGCCACCAATGGTGAGGAGTTTTCGAACAGCCTTGTTTCTTTCCAAGGAAAAAGCTAAACCATACACTAGAGAGCAAACACCTGTGGATATGCAGGTGAACATCTTACCAAGGGGAGAGAGAGCTTTTTTGTGAATGAGCTGCTCAATGTAATAATTTTCTGTGTGCATGTTCCTACCATGTAGCAAGCAAAAGCTATGCTGCAGCAACTTGCCCCTTTTTCATGAAAGGAAAAATGTAAGTGCTTCTACCTACAGCAATAACTTGATGATATAAATGGGCATCTTGATTGGTGCCTCTGCATAAGGGAGGTGTTTCAGCCACAAGCCTCTAAAATAAGCCAAACCCTGTAACAAATATGCCTACACAGAAGCAAAACAACTTCTGATACAGAGAAATAGAAGAATGCCTCTTCCTATCATTTGCAAAGACTACCAGCCCCTCCGGATCTATGAACTTCTCTGCGTTTCACTATTAACAGTAAGAAAGACAAACTAAACATTTTGCCAGTAACACAGTAGACATTTTACTATTTACTTGTGACATCTGGCTGCCTTCCTATTCTCCTACCTGTTTGTGCCACCAAGTGGGTCCATCCACTCCAGACTGCTCCAATCTTTTCATCTGAGAAAAAATTAGCTTCTATTTTGACTGGCTCAGCAAGAAAAATCTCTTTGCTCACAAGTTGCCCATGTTTGTTGCTTCCCCAGACATACAATTCTCCTTTATCTGAAATAAATATGGAAGTAAAGAAATCAGTAAAAAGCTATATCTGTGACGTCAGCAGTTGGGGAAAAATGTGATGTGCTAAAGTGAAAGCAACATTTTAATTTAATTGGTGAGTGTCATATGTGTATATTGTATTGTTGCTGTCCCCCTCCCACCCCCAACACATATACACTTAAAATATAAAAAAATAAAATAGCCATTAGGACTATAAAAAAAATTCCTTTTACAAGCCAGAACTAATTGCTCTCATTCCCTCTCCACACTACTACACTCTAACTACTACTGCAACGGATGATTGTTCAATAATTACTATTTCTCTCTATTTGTTTAATACTATATTTGAATGCATACACAATGGATTCCACCCTGGGGGATAACTACATTGTTATTATTGATTTACAGTAGCATCCACACTGTTTTGTGTAGTTTCTAAACATTTGAGAACATTATTCAAGAAGCTCACAGTGCGAAGTCCAACAGACAGTCTATACCACGGCACCTTTATGAAGCAGCCATGGGTTGGGGAGAACAGCACCAGCTACACACAGTTAATATGCAATCAACTCAATTCATTGCAAACAGCATGGCAGCAGTGTGGCTTTTAAAGGGATTTAAATAAGATACGATTAATGTACCATAGGGTAACGAGTTTGGAGAAAATGAGTCAGAACAGAGTACAAAGTAGTTCAAGGAGGAAATAGAGTAAATCTACTTGAAATTCAGTTCTTCAACCCTGGAAAGATTAAGACTATACACATGATTAAAGTAAGAAATATTTATCTATATGAGAACATATTTTTTATATAATTAAGTATAATAGTAAAAGGCAAAGTATTAATACATCATTTTGAGCATAATTTATACACATGTAAATCTAGAGTTATTCCACTGAAGTAACTTTGTTTTCTGGTGTTCAGATGCAACTGTCAGGAGAGGCTAGAAAAGAACTTAGTGTAAGTAAAAGCTATATGGTCCAAAAATGTTGAAGAAGGAGAAGAAAACACTGTACACCAAGCTAGGCATGTTTTAGGTATTTTCCAAGACTTGTTACGGGAAAGAATCCAGAAAACTGACTTTTCTTTTATTCAAATTGCTTCCCAGGTAAAATGAAATATACTTTTTTTGGGGGGGGGGGGGGGGCACACATGAGGATGGCAGAAATAACCCGTTTTAAATAAAGAAATAAAAGGTAAACAATAGATTACAATTTGCTGGATACACTACAAAATCTCTATCTACCATTTGCTCTTCAAGTACTTTTTAGTGTCATCTCTGTATTTCGCAAAGATCCTATAGCTGCATAGTGATAGCCTGTGAGTGTGCTCCTACGCCAGACAAAACTAATAAATAGGGAATGACATTCCTCCATCATCCTTTACTTAAATGCTGCCATACAAGTTTGCAACAACTGCTTCTACTGTTGTTAAAATTGTCATAAATGTTCCATGAGTGACCAGTAGATGGCAGGTGAAACCAGAAAGAGAGAAAAAAGATATACATATGTAACAGTGCATTGTACAATTCATAAGATTAACAAATCCGCAACAGTGTGGCTGACTTATCATTTCCCAAACTCTGCATCACAGGAAATCATTAACACTCTATTTTACATTTTCCCACATACCTTAACCCCTGTAAATAAGTGACTACATTGGGATGAGTTTAATGTGTGAATAGACATGTGCAGCTTTACTCAAGAATTGCTCTTCAGAAAAGCTTTCCATGCCTCAAAAACATAAAATTATACCACGAGAGGGAATCCTGTCTTCCCTTTGCCTCATCCAACTCTGGCAGTCCTTCCATGTGACCTATGGGTTGCTTCTGCAGCAGCACAAGAGAAACAACTGCTGATCTTTTGGCACAAAGCAGGATTTACATGCGACAAAAGTCATTCAGGAACACAGGCCCTGTTGTTTTTCAAAGAGACTTGTGCTCCTAAGGCCCCTAGCAGATTGTTCACTTTAAGGTGTGATGGGATCTGCTGTGCAATCCCAACAATTGTGTCTCCTGCCATGCTATACACGCACAGCAGGAGGTAAGATTGTGGGATCAGGGATCAGATCTCAATCATGCCACATTATTGGTGCAGGGGGAGCCTAAGATCATGATCTCAGGCTCCCTCTGCACTGGCAAGCATCAGACCAGTCAGCTGATCCATGCTTTCAGCCTCAAGAGCACATTGGAATCAAGGGCTCTAATGTATACCTGAGGCTGGGACCCCCAATCAGCTGCCACTCCCAGCCTCTTGGGGGAGCAAATTCAAGGGCTTCCATGCACCCCAGAAACTGAGAGCAGTAGTCATCTGATCTGCACGCTCAGCCCCAGGAGCTAATCAGAGCCTCTGACTCCAATGAACCCCTGAGGCTGGGAGCACCAGTCAGCTGATTGTCACTCCCAGCCGCCCGAGTACATCAGTCAAGGGTTCCTATGTGTTTTCAAGGCTAGGAGCATTGATCAGCCAGGGCCTGGCCACATGTAGAACCAGCCACAAAGTTATTGCACATATTTTCTGGAATAACTTTGTGGCTTATTCCTTCTTTTATTGTGCCACTAATTACATTAATGTGTGGCCAGGTTACTACTTAAGACATAATTAACTGGTTAATCATGTCTTAAGTGTAATGTCTGCCAAGGACCAATGTGACTAAATTTATAAAAATCCTACTAGATCCTCTAGCAAACAGTTACAAAAGACCAGATTCTGCCACTCTTACTCACAGTCAATAACAGCAACTTACTCCATGAATATTCCTATGAAATCAAGAGAACTATCTGTGGAATAAAGTACTACTATTCAAAGTATGTAAGGGTGTGCCGCCTAGCATAAGCAAAGGAGGCAAGCTAAGGTATGCAAGGGAAGGAATAAGGACATTAATCCACTCAACTTCACTGTTAGGTAATTTAAACTTTCTAACACATAAACACCACTGAAGCAGTACTGTGAAAGCTGGTAGGATCACAGCACAAACTGGGGAGACCGAAGTCAAATCAACCTCTAACAAAAATTAAATATTCACAATATAATGAAATGCATTGTCCAAGCCTATGGATATGGATGTAGAGGACTAGAGCCTACCTGTAAGTGACACCGAATGGTAAGAACTGGCAGTGATTCTTTTCACCTTTACCTTTTCCAGGCCTAGGAAAGATTAGTACCATGTAATTAGCTAGGCCAAGTTGCATACATGCATACAATACATAAAGCAGTCAAAAAACAGACCACATAAGCTGTATTATGGTCAAGAATTATGCCAGGAGCATGGCAAATTATATATTTTACCTCAGTCCTCTCAAGCCTTTACAGAAGTCAACATTCTTTGTTCAAGGAGTTATGGCCCAGTGTTCCCATTCCATATCTCAGATATTCCGTGAACCACCATGCCAGTTCCTGAGGCTACATTTAAAATGTGGTATTTATGTCCATTTCTATAAATTAAGGCTAAATCCAGCTTCCAGACACTGGCCATGCAATTTCCACACGGCCATACCTGGCCCAGGTGTTAGGGGGAAGTCTTGGGGAGCATAGTGGGCCAATATCTTTTCCCAGAAACCCAGAAGAAACACCAGCAGAACCAGTCCACACAGTCAACTTCAGTCCAACAGCCAGACATGCTCCTTTTATGCAAGAGGGACAGGAGGATCCATTAAGCATCAAAGACACACTTCTCCCACCTCCACTCATCCATGTTCCACAGCTTCCAGGCTGCCACAGAACACTGCTCCTTTACCTCCAGATGCCTATTTTGTATTGCAAAAGTTGTGCTGGATCCCTGTGTCTGTGAAACAGAGCATCCAGATATTCCCTTTACTCAATAACAATGAATACAGTGCTTTCTATGATCTGAAATGTTCCATGATTATGCGGAATGGGCGTAACTTAACAGAAGGCCTTATTAGAAAAAAGGGGAGCAAGTGGGGAGTATGGGTATTCTTTGTACGCAAGTCCACAACCCTGTGTATTACCATACCCATGCAAATAACAGTATGGGGTCTTAGTTACCTGATACTCTACACGGTTCCTTTGCTGTCAGAAAGGGTGGGATAGTTCTGCCTCGGTCCATCCGTTTTGCCCGAGATGCCATGCCAGTTCCCCACTGGAAAACTAACCCACTTTCTTCTCAATGTGAAGATACAAAGGGAAATCAAAACAGAGCAAATTATTGATGGTTCTGCTTGTTTTTTTCACTTATTTTCTCATTTCAATGGTGTGTTTGCTACACTGGTTCTTATTTTAGAAATCACCACTAAATATTATTTAAAGGCTTAAACAATATCTCACATGTACAATCCACTTTCTCTCTGTTGAATGAGTATCATAAAAAGCCCCTAATTGATAGGCAGTTGTTATTCTCAAGTTACTAAGCCAGTGAACAATAAGCAGCTCGCTCCAGATCTCCAAGGGCTCCACTGCTAAGTTACATAGGAACCACAGTCATAGAAGTCACATAGGGTAGAAATGGACATTGCCACAATGAAATGGATCAGCTGTGGCAGAACACACGTGGTCACTTGGCCTGCATCGAGCCCCCAGCCTGATGCAAGACCACAAGTGATGGGTTCCCTTTGCCCACAGTCTTCCCAGGTCCCTTGCTGCCCCGCATCAGGTTCTGTGCTGATCCATGCCTCCCATGGAGGCACGGGTCAGCCCAGGTCCCAGGATGAGGCTGGGAAATTCCTGGAGTCCTGTGCCTCCATGTGGGGACCAGGAAGTATGGGCCAGTGTGGGTTCTGCTAAGAAGGAACTGGACATCAGGTATTTCTTGGCACCTGTGCCGCCCTGTGCTGGGACCCACAGTGAGCCATACCTCTGCCTGAAGTATGGATCACAGCCAGTCCTGGCAAGGAGGCGCATGGAGGTGCAGGAGCTGGGAAATTCCCAGAGCACCATACCTCCATGCTGGGACCTGCACCGAGTCCCACACTAACCCAAATCCCTGTGCTAGTTCCACTCTCCTCATCCCTCAGGGCTCCCATCCTGCCCCCATGACCTTAAGGGCTCAACCCCATGACCCCAGTTCATGCAGTTCACACCCCAGACCTCCCATCCCACACAGCTCACTCTCATCCCCCAGCTTACCCTTCTTCCCCCAAGTCCATCAGGGTTCATCTTCCCACCCTCCTGGCCCTCAGGGTTCAACCACAGTCCCCCTCCTCACCCCCAGCATCCTCTGGCTGCCTGCTTACCTATGCTGCTGGAGCTGTCCTGAGGGAGCAGGCAGGGAAAGAGAATCCATCCACCATCACCCTACGGGCTGAGGCCAGTGAGGAGAGCAACAGCGGGCAGACAGATTCCCCTTCCCTGCCTGCTCCCCCAGGACAGTGCCAGCAGCTCAGGTAAGCAGGGATCTATCAGAAAGTTGCAGGGGAAGGGGAGGGGGTAACTAAGCAGAGATCTGGTGTGAGCAGGGGCCAATCCAGACTGGTAGGGGCTGACACAGGCCCAACCTGGGCCAGCGTTGCCCATTCCTGGGACCTATACTGCCCAAGCCAGACAGGCACAAAGCAAACTTGGCAGCTGCTAGCCAAACCCGTGCTCCCCAGCCCTCTCAGGGCAGCACAGAGCAGTGCACATTAGAGAGGGTTTTAACCCTTAACATGTGACTGCTCCCAGCACACAGCCTAATGTTCCTTAGAGTTAGCACAGGCAAACTGTAACGTGTAACTACAACTCAAGAGAGTCACAAGTTAACTCCACAATTCGGCCTCCAGTATCTGGGGAAAAGGCCTGTCTGCCCTTTTCATGCCAATTCAGGTATTGCAAGGTACTTGATTCCTAGTATTTGTTTCAACCACTGGACCACACACTTCTTCCCATCTCCTCACACAACACTCACTTGTCTAGAACCCATAAGCAAGCAACAAAAAGAAAACAGAATGGACAGCAATGATGAATGATTATGGGGAGCAGGCATAACATAACAGAAAGCTTTATTTTAAAAAAATGGGGAAGTGGGGAGGCGTGAATGACAGTGCTGTTTGTTGATCGCCATAAACATTGCCAGCTGCCAATTACCAGCCCCTCCTAACTATAAGGCCAACCTCAGTCACTCCATGGGCAAAGCTGCCAAAAAAGCCTTGGAGGTTTCAAAATAATTTACAGAAATCCTTAAAAATCATAGAAACTATGACTCACCCAGGCACAACTCAGTGGGTAACAAGAGTCCCATAAAGCCATATTTTCAGAAGGGATCTATGTGATTAAATAGTGTTGAATATTTGATTCATAGGGCTGGCTGAAATTTTATATTCCAAAGCATTTTGATTTCATTTTATGTTTTCAAAGCAATTTCATTGTAGCCTTTTCAAAATGTCCAGTTACCACCATTCATTTTGAAACAACTTTTCCAAATAACTCATTTCCTGTTTGTAAAAACTGAATGAAGTTGAATTAGGAACATAAACTTTTTTTTTGACTGCCTGGAAATGACATTTTTTTGCCAAAATTTTGTTTCCATAGGAAAGGGCTTTTTTCTTCTTTTTTTTCAGCTTTCACTCTGTTTCAGAATGGAAAAAAAATGAATTCATAGAATTTCTCATCAAACAGAAAATCTAGCTGCTGCCCAGCAGAAGCCCTGAGCTCTTGGAAAGACTTCTTCACTAGATTTTACTAGAAGGGATATAAATCATCTCATCTTTATCATATTCCTTATAATGGGCAGGATTCTTATCATCATGTTCTTGCCTGATATTCTCTTTTATGAAGTACAGGACCCTACAGGTGCCATTATCCTCCGATATTGGCAGATAAAAATAAATCCCCTCTCTCTCACACCCTTAAAAAAGTTATTAAACCAGTGGTCTCAACCAGGGTGACACAAGACCCTTTCATGGGTGTTGTGCCCCCAGCACTCCTGCTGCTGCAACCAGGTGAAACCACCCTGCCCAGTTCTGTTTCCAGGAGGGGTGTGCAGAGCCAGACTAGGAAGTAGCTGAGGTAGCGACCAGCAGGTGCCCCTGATGCAGCTGCTTCCCAGTATAACTCCATATACCCCTCCTGCAAAGAGAGGTGCACAAGGCAGCTCCACCTGGAAGCAGTGGCACAGAAACCGGGAAATAAAATAAGCAAGTGGGACCAGTGGTTCTCAACCAGGGTGCTGCCAAATTCAGAAAAGTTAGGGAGGGGTACCTTGAAGCTAAAAAAGTTGAAAACCACTACATTACACCTTCTATACATTAAAAGTACTGTTAGTTTACCATGGAAATGATAAAATTATGACAGCATATTCACCTGTGGCAGCAAGAGCATGTCTGATTCCTGCAGCAACATTCACAATCTTCTCCCTAAGGGACTATTCAAAATAAAAGAATAAACATATTGGTGTCTTTCCTGCTGTTTCAATTTTGTAACTCAGCAGGAAATGCATTTTATCAAACACAAGAAATCTGAATTCCATTAAAATAAGTAACATATTGACAAAGTATGTCATAAAACAACACAGATAAATTAATTTTAGCACATTCATAAGAACCTCTAAAAAAAAATCAAAAAAATGGAAAATTTGGATTGGGTGTGTGCATGCATGCATGCACGCAAACACACACACACACTGGTCCAGTAATAGATATCACCTGCGTACACAAGCACATCAACTCTATCACTTTTTTAATGTGAGTGTTTTGATTTTGCTAGTTGTTTGTTGCCAGGGTCCTGTCTGTCCAAAAGCTTAGGTTTGATTTTTTAGGAGGCTCTTGTGAATGTTAATATGTGATACAATTAATTTTTCTGTGTTGTGTTCTGTGACACATACCTAGCCAATATGATACCTATCCCCCCCCCCACAACACACACACACAGAGTTGGTCCAGTAAAAGATATCAGCCTCAACAATACTTGTCTCTCACATTAACAAAAAAATGTTAGCAATTAAGAAGCAGTATGTTCAATCTAATGTCCTCCATTTAGGATACGGGAAATTCAATACCAAAAAGCAAATAATAGTAGTATTCCTTTACACTAACCAGTTGTTTCTATATCCCAGGATGATGGACAGTTTAGCAAATATAGGCAATACTATCTACTCTGCCTATACGCAAGATTGCTTAATGCTTACCATTACAATATCCCATTTTCAGTGTGACTGTATAATTAGAGATAACAATCCATACACACGAAGGAAATAAAATACTGTGTTTACTTTAACCTAAGATGACCTGGAATCTAAGACTATCCCACCAATTATTAGATTGCAGAAATACAAAATTATAAATTTGTTTTAATTTTTCATGTCTAGAACTTAGTTATTGAAAAGTCATCTTAAATTCATCCCTTCCAACACAGCCAGAGGGAAAATAGTAGCAGGGAAAGTAGCAGCTGGGGAGCAAGCAACCTGCCCCATACCCCTTAACCTGACCTTGTAACTTGACCCCCGTGTTTGCCCCCCTGCCACCCATCTCCCCCAGTGTCTTCCTGTCCCTCCTACTACTTTTCCCTAGTTAT